TACAGTGAGGAAAATGTAGCTGGAGACAAAACTGTTTTCTTTTTTAACCCAATGTTCCGATTTCAGTTCGTCTGACCTAGAATAGTTAAAAAATACTCCATATACCCACAATAACTACTAAGTTGCATCATTGTATCATTGTTCGGCGATCACTCCTATTCAGACACTGGTGGGTTTTCCCACCCAGATGGATGAAATTTTAACTATAATTGTTAGATTTAACTATAATTTTGCGACCATGGTCACATAATTTTAATTTTTTTAGAATTTTTATTTTATAATTTCCGAACCGGTTTTTATACCCTTGCAGAGCAAAAGGGTATTATAATTTCAGTCAGAAGTTTGCAACGCAGTGAAGGAGACACCTTAGACCCCATAAAGTATATATATTCTTGATCAGCATCACGATTAGAGTCCAAATCCGTCTGTACGTCTGTCCGTCTGTCTGTCTGTCCGTCTGTCCGTCTGTCCTCCTGTCGGTTTCTATGTAAACTAGTCTCACAGTTTTAAAGCTATCTTGCTGAAACTTTCCCAAAAGTTGTGTAGCTATTGCACGTAGTATATAAGTCGGATCGGGCCGGATCGGCCGACTATATCGGATAGCTCCAATACAAGAGAATGAAATAAAAAAATCTTACGCCGTTATTTTTTATCAGATTGACTTAATTTCTTCCATATGGCGTTTTCTAACTACTATTGAATTTCGGATTAAATTTTATCAAATTCGGACAACTCTATCATATGGCTGCCATAGGAAAGATCGAAAAATATATATAAAGGGTTTTTCAATAGGTGCGCTTCAACTTTTTTCCGATAGGGACGGCGAACGACGCCATGTTTTTTCTTGTTGTCTTGACATATGAAACTTCATTAGTATACATTTCATCATGGAACGCTATACACTTGAACAGCGATTGCAAATTGTGCAAATTTTTTATCAAAATAATCGTTCTGTTGCTGCTACTTCAAGAGCATTACAGCCATTTTACGGTCCATTTAACAAGCCAGGCCGTTCGACAATCGACCGTCTATTGGCAAAATTTGAGTCTACGTTTTCACTACATAATGTTCCGGTGCCCGTGAGAGCAAGAAGTGCTCGAAGTGATGAAAACATCGCAGCCGCCAGCGCTTCAGTTCAAGAAGACGCGAATGTGTCGCTCACACGACGTTCGCAACAATTGGGCCTTTCTGTGACGTCATTGTGGCGAATTTTGCGCAAAGATCTTGGCTTACATCCTCTAGACTATTTTCTTTGGGGTTACGCAAAGTCATTGGTCTATGCCAATAAGCATCGACGTTGCAAGAGATCAGAGCCAATATTGAACGCGAAATTGCTGGAATTTTGACCGATTTATGCGAAAAAGTGGTTGAAAATTGGGTTCAACGATTGGACTTCGTAAAACGTGCACGCGGTGGTCATGCGAAAGAAATCGAGTTTCATAATTAAATGTATATGTTCAAATTCGATAATAAAAAAAAGTTAGTTGAAAAGTCAAACCGTTTGTGTTTTATTAAAAAAAAAGTTGAAGCGCTCCTATTGAAAAACCCTTTAGAATTAATGGAAATAAATTGATAACAACTTTTTTTTTATCCCACGAGCATGATTTTTTAAATATCAAGTTTTTTAACAACCCTTATATTGAGAAAAAAGTTTCATAAAAATCGGACAGCTATATCTTATAGCTACCATAGGAAAGATCGAAAAATCTATATAGAAATAACGGAATATAAAGTTTTCTAACAACTCTTGAATTACGAATTAAATTTGATCAAAATCGAACAACTATATCATATAGCTCCCATATGATCTATAGTCGAAAATATGGAAAATGAACAGAAAAATCGTCTTAGCTTCGATGTTGTTTAGCCTTTATGCATTTTGTTCGACATATTTGATGACTGCAAGGGTATATAAGCTTCGGCTTGCCGAAGCTAGCTTCCTTTCTTGTTATGTTTCAAACTACTGATAAAGTGATCTTTTTTTCTATAAAATATTAACAGATTATCAACCTATCAAAATTAGTTCTCGGCTCTGTAGAAAATTTGGTTCAAACTAGTCCTTCCATCACTTATTTCAATAAAATTGATGAGTTTTGTACAACATTGTATACTGAATTAAAATTATCTTCAAAACAAATCGCTTGGATCTCGCTAAATAGGTAAGTCAAAATATAGACATAAAATGAATTAGTAATTCATTAACATGCAAACCGCAAAAAAAACACCAATAAAAATAATAATAAGTAGTTTCATACATGTATTTTTTAGTTTATTAATTTTAGATGAAACTTGCAGAAAGGAAGTAGTATTGTTTACCTTCATAACGTAATAAAATAAAACATCTTACAGGTTAAAGAATTTAAAAAATTTTTATGCCCTTGCAGAGCAAAGGGTATTTTAATTTAGGCCAGAAGTTTGCAACGCAGTGAAGGGGACACCTCAGACCCCATAAAATACATATATTCTTGATCAGCATTATGATCTAAATCGAAATACGTCTGTAAGTCTGTCCGTCTGTCGGTTTCTACGCAAACTAGAGGTTGGGGTTACGGTTTAAAATTTTTTTTTCCATTTTTTTTAAATTTTTTTTTTCTTAAAGACCAATATGTTAAGAATAATTCTCTCTTGACTTTCAAGGCGAACGGGCGTGTTTTTTTGTGCGCTCCGAATTTTTATTTGTTTTTGCTAAAGCCACCGGTGGGTTTAAATCAATTCATTAAAATTTCGGCTTTTAAACCAATATAATTTTAAACTCCGTTCGCTTCACGAGTGAATCTGTTTTTTGACTGGGTTCCATTTCTATAAATAAATATTAATTTTTCTTTTGCTTTTTGTTTTTTTGATCTGTGTCTTGCATTTCTCTCTATCCGTAGTGTTGTTTTTGTTGTTGTTAGTGCAAGCTAACAGCGCTGTGTTCTCCCGCTTTCGCTCTCTCACAAAACCTAAAGTTCCAAGCGTGCAGGCTGCGCTCTTGCGGTACTTTTAACTGCTCGCTTGAAAGTTTTTGTTTTGTTTTTTTTTCATACAGTGGTAAGAAGCTAATAATTATGGAACTAAACGGCCGAACAAGTGATGACCTAGCTAAGGGTCCAAACCTGAAGTGCTTGTGTGATACATTACTTGGGGTTGCGAACGAAATGAAATCGTTCATGCGCCAAACCAAAGGTGGCTTAAGGGGTTATCCTACCCTGGAGGCCCAAAAAAGGCCTATTTTCGTGAATTTTTTTCAAAGCTCCTGGGATTTTCTTACAATTTTTGTTTATTGAATATGAATATATAATGCTTCAACTATAATTTGTAAAATTTTGAAAAGAAAATATTAAAAAATGAGCGAGTGAGAATGCCTGAAAGTTGACTCCATCAAAAATAGTGCCCTGGCGGTAGTCAAATTTTCTCCGCTTCATCTGAAATTAAAAATCCAAAATTTTTCTCTAAGTGTATGTGTCTGACTCGTGTTTGAACGAAGGATTTTTTTTTTATTAAAAATTGAATTTTTTATAACGTTGTTGGGTCAATGAGCTTTTTCACCAACCATTACCTTGTCGGTGCCCAAATAAAATAATCCGCACAAATTTCTCTTAAATAATGCACTTATTTATTTCAATGGCACCAAGGCCTTAAATTTACAGAGTTATTGTTTATGTAGGTTTGAATTAAGAATTAGGCAGGCAGACCGATTTGTCTGTGCCTTTTAACTAGCCGAAAGTATGATGGGCAGGCAGACCGATTTGTCTGTGCCGTTTTAGTCGCGAAAAGCTATTTAGCAGGCAGACCGATTTGTCTGTGCTTTAGACGAAACTATGTATATAAGCCGAGAGTTGGCAGGCGATCAGCGATCGTGCCTTGTGCAAACGAGTATCAAAATCGAATTAGGTTGAACTGAAGCTTGCCGTGGACAAGGCCAGGAAGCGATAAGCAAAAAAATGCAAAAAAGGGAGTTAGAAATGACAATTAAAACAGTGTTGCCGCGCAGGGCAAATAGCAAAACAAAGCAAACAGCAAGCAATGAATTTACGTTAAGATTTGAAATTAAAGATTGGATTTAGGCTGCGGCAAGACCAAACATCCTCCCCCCGTTGAAAGACCAGGGCTTTCAACCAGATCCAGGTTCGGCAGCACGCACAACTTGCGTACAGCCCTTCGAGTGATTCGAGCCACACGAGCAACTCCATCGGATCCAGGCACCAATTCCATGATGCTGGCTAACGGCCATTGAGGCGGATGCAAAGTGGAGACGAACTCGTCGATTTGTAGTGCAGGTTTGGGAGTGCGCCACCTATGTCGTTGCTGCCAACATTGAAGACGCATGTAAGCGAGCAACGCTCGCGGGCCAGAATGCATGCTCTTCCGATGCAAGTCCAGTGTAGGATGCTGCGCATTGCGATTCTCGAGACGAAACGCTGGGCTGGCGAACCAAAGGGCAGGTTCCAGAAGCTCTCTCGGGGAAGTTTCTCTTGTCAAGATGTCGGCTGGATTGCAGTCAGCCGGAACGTAGCGCCAACTCATGCCACTGGATAACTCTTGAAGTATAGATATTTGATTAGTAACAAATACTTGAAAGCGTGAATGTTCATAGCTTATCGATGATAAAGCTTCAGCAGAATCCGACCAGCAATAATACGGGCAATCGAAGAGAAGTTGGACCAGTAACAAGGTAGCGTAGAACTCCAATTTGAAAACCATGAGAGTCTTCCAAGGCGCCACACGAGACTTTGAATAAAGTAGATGCGCCTGTCGTTTGCCATCAGCTGTTGGATCCAACGCAGGTTGAAGAAACGCCTTTTGCTGGGTACGACCCATGCCAGATAGCAACTTCCGCCATGACGTGTTGAGTCCCTGGGGAACGCACTCATCGTAAACCTGAGCGGTTGTGGACAACACCATCCCTTTGCTTGACTTTGGAGAGACCTGTATGGAAGAAAAAGAAGAACGAAAAACATCCGCTGCAGGGTTTCAGGCAAGACCCAGTGTCTTGGTAATGTTGCTGCCATCGTCAAACTTCAGGAGTGTTCTTTTTTCGAGTCAGGAGTTTGATATCGAACGTCGTTGTTTCCGAGGACCTCTTGTGTTGATTGCCCTCCTATGATCAGATCGTCAGCGTCATCCATGCGAGCAGCAACCAATTCCCGATGCACAGCTTGATCCTGTAATCCAGTTGCCTCTGTAGAAGAAGATCCACCTCCTGTTACGATCCAACCAAGCCTCGAATTCTGTAATAGGGGTAACCCAGCAGCCAACTTAATCTGCCCTACAGATAATAATTCGAAAAACATGCTTGCGCCAATGAAAAGATCTATGCGGTGAGATTTGTAAAATTCAGGATCGGCCAACTGAATACTGGAGGGAATTTTCCAGCCATCGGGCTTAACATTCGAACTGGGTTGATTTTCGGTTATCGCTGGAGCAACAAGCGCAGTTAGGCATGCGGAGTTATTGGAGGCATGCGACTTGAACTTGAGACAAACGGACGCTCCTTCACAGTCAAATCGAGCATCTCCAAGACCAGCAACTGTTACTGTAGACTTTGTTTTTGGCAATTCCAACTGGTGAGCAAGTCGGGAGGTCACAACGTGGACTTGTGATCCCGAGTCTAGCAGCGTGCGGCATGGGATCCAGGCACCTGATCGACTTTGTATGCTTATGGCTGCAGTTGGAAGAAAAACACTATCGGAATCCAAATTCTGAGCCAGCAAAGAGATAGAGGGGCTAGAGGCGATTGCGTTCGGCGTACTTAGTTCCGCCACGGGAGCTCGCTGAACATCGGTTGAAGGCTGAGAGCCAGGGTGCAAAAGGCTATGATGCTTAGACCCGCAAACTCGACAGCAGCCTGACCGACAATTGCGCATTTGATGTCCTTTCTTCAGGCAATTGAAACACAGTGCCAAGTCCCTTGCCTTTAGAATACGCTCTTGTGTCGACAGATTGGCGAATTGACCACAGCTATAGATGGAGTGACTACTACTGTCACACGCAACACATGCATGTCCCGAAGTGTTGGTGGCGACTAAGATACTTCTGCTGCGAGTGATTCCTGATGGTGAACAATTCGAATACAAAGCTGCGGTGTGCTCTATGTTCTCGAGTTTTCGACAACGCTTTGACAAGAAAGTAGTGAAATGATCAATCGAAGGAATTTCATCGATCGCCGCAGACTCCTCCCAATTGGCCTGAGTTTTGCTATCCAACCTTTGCAGTAGAACATGGACAAGAACACAGTTTGCTATTTGGTCAACAGAACCCATAGACTGGAGAGCACGTAGATTTGCGTTTATTTTGTCGGACATTTCTCGCAGCTTCGTGGCACACTGCATGTCGACCTTGGGGAGACTCAAAATTGCGTTAATGTGGGATTGGAAAATGAGACGCTTGTTATTGAACCGGTTGTTCAATAATTCCCAGGCCACCGCATAATTAATCTCGCAAATCTCCAATGACCGAACTGTGTCCAAGGCGGCACCCTTCAAGCAAGACTTGAGATGCTGCAGCTTCTCAATGTTGGAAAGCTCAACATCGTTGTCGATAATGGCCTTGAACATCGACTGAAAATCCGCAAATTCGGTATAGCCTCCAGAGAAATCAGGCAGTCTCAATTCGGGTAAATGAGATCTCCTTGCCGCTGACATGGAATGGAAATCCATGGAGGGCTCTGGCCTGAGTGTGGAGCTACGAATTGCCGGACCTTTTCGCTTACCCAATTCTCGATTCAACCTTATTTTTGTTGAGATGATAAGCTCCTCGAAGTCATCGCGCACCACACTACCAATTTCATTAAAGTCCAGCTCCTCAAGTCTGTCATGGATCTGGAAAAAGGCAGTCTTGATCTCGTCCAGGCGTTGAACATGGAATTCCAATTTCTCCTCGCTCATTTCCTGGAGCTTGTCGGCAGTCAGAGTCTTCTCAATCGCTTTAGCTTTAGAAAGCATTGAGCCAGCCTTCAATTTGTAATACGTTGCTCCCGCAACTGGAGCAGCAAGCGTTGTGTCCATTGACATGTTGTTTACTTTGGTTGTTATAGTTTTTAGAATTCGTCACTTGCACACCGATCAAGACCCACTGTGCAATGATTAGCGCCAAAATTGTGCGTCTATTTGAATATATATATACTGGGGGAAGCTGGGGCACAAAGAGGAAACGAAAATGCGCGGGGGCGGGTGTGTGCGAGGGTCTAACGGAGTTACAGCTTGCGCTTATGTGCACAGAGCTAACGAGAGTATGTACATATATGCGCGATCACTAACTTTTAACCGAACGAAAATAATAAAATTATTTGTTTGGTTGCACTTTAGTTTTAGATGGTTCGAATTTCTATTGTTTCACGATCACGTCGGGGTCACCAAAATGTTGGGTCAATGAGCTTTTTCACCAACCATTACCTTGTCGGTGCCCAAATAAAATAATCCGCACAAATTTCTCTTAAATAATGCACTTATTTATTTCAATGGCACCAAGGCCTTAAATTTACAGAGTTATTGTTTATGTAGGTTTGAATTAAGAATTAGGCAGGCAGACCGATTTGTCTGTGCCTTTTAACTAGCCGAAAGTATGATGGGCAGGCAGACCGATTTGTCTGTGCCGTTTTAGTCGCGAAAAGCTATTTAGCAGGCAGACCGATTTGTCTGTGCTTTAGACGAAACTATGTATATAAGCCGAGAGTTGGCAGGCGATCAGCGATCGTGCCTTGTGCAAACGAGTATCAAAATCGAATTAGGTTGAACTGAAGCTTGCCGTGGACAAGGCCAGGAAGCGATAAGCAAAAAAATGCAAAAAAGGGAGTTAGAAATGACAATTAAA